GTAGTCATTGTCTTGAGTTAATTGTCTGATCAATGCGTTTGTCATTAAATTTAAAGATATTGGCAGTGAATGAGTGGCAACGGAATTGTGCCAAACATTTACATTAATTGTATTATTATTATTAGTATTATTAGTATTATTAGTGGAAATGCCAAATAATAACTTTTTAAAATATGGTAATAATCCGTTTTGATCACTGTATTCAAGCAGTGATTGCTGTATATCTTTGTGGACATCATTTTGCAGATCTATTTTATTTATTCCCAAATCACTCAATACTTTGGCATAACTTTTAGCAAATTGTTGATCATTTGTAACAACAAATCCGTTTATATCTTTGCCATAGATTTGTTTGCTATTAAGTTGTAATTCTTGTGAAAATTGTTTATACCTGTAGTTAAGAGTAAAATCTATCCATAGAAAGCGTATGATTATAGAAATGATAGGAATTATTAATAATATTAAAAACATTGAAAATTGTTTCGACAGATAATGATATCGTTTAACAAAAATACCGTAGAATTGACTTAAAACTAGTCTTAAAGTTGAGATTTTGTTTTGTTGAGTATTGAGTGAATCAGTAATTAGTTTATCGTTATTATCATTGATATCAATGTTTAGATCTTCGGGTAAATTGTTGTCCGCTTTTGAGACAATCTGAGCGTAAGAGCCCTCGAGTGTTGTCATCCCTAACGATATGTTATTAATCGCTAATAAAGTCTTATTTTTCTCCAATTCGTCAAACATTTGTCCGAATCTATCGTTTTGTTCAAAGTTTAGACCGAAAACCAGTTCTTCATTGTCTCCCAAATTGTTTTTTGAAACACTTTTTATTTTACTGTATTTTGAAATAGTTTTTGTGATTTGACTCTCGGTTTGCATTTCATTTGATTTATTAATTTTCAATTCATATCCGGAATTGAATTCGTGTTTCATCTGAAGAGTGGTTCCATTGAAACAAAGAACTCCTTTAGAGATAATACAGATCTGATCCGAGAGTAGATTTGCTTCTTCGAAGTCGTGGGAAGTAATCAAAACTGTTTTGCTTTTTCTCGAGTCTATCATTAGATCCCAAACCTGTTGTCTAACTCTCGGATCCAAAGCAGCCGTCGGTTCGTCTAATACTAAGACATTGTTGTGTCCGATGAGAGCCAAAGACAGGACCAGTCGTCGAAGAGTACCGCCGGACAGATGTAACGCCTGTTTGTCTATGTCTTCTTTGAGACCTAATCTAGTGATGAGTTCTTCATCACTGTATCCATCATTACTCTCGCGTATGGTTTGCTTTAATTGCGAGAATATCTTCAAATGGTCTCTAATTGTCAAGTATTTAAAGTAAACGTTTTGTTGCGGACAAAAACCAATCATTTTGTGAACGAAATGCTTATCTTTACGGATATCGTGTCCACCGATAGTTATGTTGCCCTCGAAATCAATCGCTCCTTTAAAATAAGGAAAAATTTAAATTATTAATAATATTTTACTTTATATCGTATAATAATAAATTTATTGATTCATGATGAAAATAATTCTACGTAAATTTAGTTTTATAATTTTAAAAGATTAAACACATAAATACAATAAATTTTATACAAAACACATGATACTAAAATATTTTATAAATGATTCATAAATTATGAATATTAATAATAAATTTACCGGTAATTATGTTAATAAGTGATGTCTTTCCCGAACCATTGGGTCCCAGAATAACGGCAATAGACTTCCCATCAATGTCTAGATTCATATCGTTTAATGTTTTCACACATTTTCTTTCAAACACTGATTTATAAGTTTTGCATACATTTCTAATATGAATAACGGCTTGATTTGAGTCAATCATCGGTTCGTATATTTCTTCAAAATGTTTTTTGTTAGAATATTGTTTGATTTTTTCATAAATATATAAAACAGGAAAATAAAACGGTTTATGAATTATGTGTTTGAATGGTATGATTGACGAGAAATACCAAATCAATAGCCCATACATTGGGTACGAGATTATCATAACAATCATTATATGGCTTAAAGTCATTTCATCATAAAAGAAACCAGGTTCAAAAATATGGGGCCAATTGGCCCCGTAATAGGCATTAGACCCCAAACCCATACACGTGTGAAAAAACCAAAACATAGCACATGTAGGCAATAGTGAGGACAGGGTTTCTGAACCAAAATGAGTTTTTATGGCAAAACCTCTCATATAAATCATAGCACTTATTGGCACTAATGAAATGATAATCCATAAGATTATGGTAACAATGACTGCAATGTTGGGACTCCTGAAGAAAACCGATATTAAGGCCACAAATAGTAGGCTTTGAATGAGAAATAGTGTCGAAAAGACGGCAAACAATGACAGAGAGATTCCGTATAGAAGTGAATGCGAATATACAACAGGTTTATTGTACTCATCTCTGTATCCAATGTTATGATAGCATAGAATTGCCGTAACAATCATATACTGGACACCGATTACGGACAGGGAGTCTATAATAATGGCCAACCAGTAGTCAATCCTATTGACACCCAGACGTAGCAAATAGTCGGTAATCAGTGTCTGTCTGTCCTCTACTATACGCTTCACCACAACGGGTAACATAAGTAACAATTNATTGCATAATATCTGGCATTCAATCATATTATGAGACGTTAATAGTATTGAAATGTTTGACGAAATCATTAAATCATTTAATATTTTGTATATTTTAAGCCGAGAGGAGGGGTCGACACCATTAGTGGGTTCGTCAAGCAGTAATAGCCCGGGAGTGCCCATCAGTGCCGCCGCCAGAGACAGCTTTCGACGGTTACCCCCGCTATAAGTGGAGACCCTTTTGTCAATTATTGCTTTCATTTCAAACTTATTTATTATGTTTGTAATGAATGTGTCGTAAGTCTGTCTCTCGAGACCACGAATTCTGGCGAAGAATACAAGAGTTTGTATTCCTGTCAACGGATCCAAAAGGGCGTCATTTTGTGGACAATAACCGATTCGTGAGAAGTATTTCTGTGTCTTTACCCTCAGGTCTGCGTCTGAGCCCAAGTATGCGTTACCGGAGTCTGAGTCTAGATCTCCAGTGAGTAGTCTAAAGGTTGATGTCTTTCCCGAACCATTGGTTCCCAATAAACCCAAACATTCACTTCTGTTCACCAAAAACGACAACTCATTCACTAATATTGTCTTCCGATTTACACTTTTACTCAATTTGTGGACAATTAGTGAAACGCTATCAAAATCTCCACTTCTTATGACTTGTGATACTCTTTCCGACTCTTCCCTCACATCCGATCTCTCCATTACTTCTTGTAATTCAATGTTTTCACTGATTACTATTTTTCTACAAAACTCTTTGCAAAACCTCACAAATTTTTTATCCACTTTATATTCAATGATACAAATGATGGCCATATATAACACGGAATACAATGCAAACCTCAGGTAATATTTAGCCATATATTGTAAGGGATTGAGCCATACATAGCACTGCTCGCTAAACCTATCCATATAAACGTGATGATAACTATACCTCTCATATCTATAATAAGGTGAATCATCGGCACAATCGGGACAACAGTGTCTCTTGTATTTAAAATCTGTATTATTATTACCGCAATAATAAGTAATGTTGGGATCAATTGCCATAAAATTTGGGCAATAATTGTTTGCGTTAAGTATTTGATGTAAATGATTGATACAATTGACAAACAAAGTGCTGGGCGTTAGTATTGATAGCGTTTCGGCGATTATATAATAGTATATTTTCGCAGTGTCTTCGTTAAAGAGCCGGAGCAGAAATGCCACAAATATTTGTAAAGGCATTACAATTGTGCCGACAATTATGCTATACATCGATGTGAAGGCAAACCCTGTCGACGGCTTTGTGAACATAAATGATAGCAAATATGCGAATGATATGAATGTCAATCCATAGCATATGAATGTCATGTATAGGGATATGAGTGATGATAACCCATGGCCTGTAAAATGCGATTCCGTGTCACAGATATAGTAAAGCAATACATAAATTGCTGAACAAATTGAATGTACGGTTAAGTCAAACGCTAAGTTTGCCGACCAATAGACCACTGGTTTGAGTCCTGACATGAATTGAATTAATTTGAATTTAACTCTACTTTCAGTAATCGGTTGTAATATATATGCGGCGGATGTGAAGGAAAACAGTATTAAATACTGCACATAATCGATGCCAAAATTGAATTCATTTTCGTACACTTTATCGTAAGTATTTGTAATCGGTGTTGACTTAAACATATCAAACGGTTTATTAGTAACACTAATCCGGTAGTCATTGTCTTGAGTTAATTGTCTGATCAATGCGTTTGTCATTAAATTTAAAGATATTGGCAGTGAATGAGTGGCAACGGAATTGTGCCAAACATTTACATTAATTGTATTATTATTATTAGTAATATTAAAGGAAATGCCAAATAATAACTTTTTAAAATATGGTAATAATCCGTTTTGATCGCTGTATTCAAGTAGTGATTGTTGTATATCTTTGTGGACATCATTTTGCAGATCTATTTCATTGATTCCCAAATCACTCAATACTTTGGCATAACTTTTAGCAAATTGTTGATCATTTGTGACAACAAATCCGTTCATATCTTTGCCGTAGATTTGTTTGCTATTAAGTTGTAATTCTTGTAAAGTTTGTCTATACCTGTAGTTAAGAGTAAAATCAATCCACAGAAAGCGTATTATTATAGAAATGATAGGAATTATTAATAATATTAAAAACATTGAAAATTGTTTCGACAGATAATGATATCGCTTAACAAAAATGCCGTAGAATTGACTTAAAACTAGTCTTAAAGTTGAGATTTTGTTTTGTTGAGTATTGAGTGAATCAGTAATTAGTTTATCGTTATTATCATTGATATCAATGTTGAGATCTTCGAGCAAATTGTTGTCCGCTTTTGAGACAATCTGAGCGTAAGAGCCCTCGAGTGTTGTCATCCCTAACGACATGTTATTAATCGCTAATAAAGTCTTATTTCTCTCCAATTCGTCAAACATTTGTCCGAATCTATCGTTTCGTTCAAAGTTTAGACCGAAAACCAGTTCTTCATTGTCTCCCAAATTATTTTTTGAGAAACTCTTAATTTCAGTGTATTTTGCAATAGTTTTTGTGATTTGACTCTCGGTTTGCATTTCATTTGATTGATTAATTTTCAATTCATATCCGGAATTAAATTCGTGTTTCATCTGAAGAGTGGTTCCATTGAAACAAAGAACTCCTTTAGAGATAATACAGATCTGATCCGAGAGTAGATTCGCTTCTTCGAAGTCGTGGGAAGTAATCAAAACTGTTTTGCTTTTTCTCGAGTCTATCATTAGATCCCAAACCTGTTGTCTAACTCTCGGATCCAAAGCAGCCGTCGGTTCGTCTAATACTAAGACATCGTTGTGTCCGATGAGAGCCAACGACAGGACCAGTCGTCGAAGAGTACCGCCGGACAAATGTAACGCCTGTTTGTCTATGTCTTCGTTGAGACCTAATTTAGTGATGAGTTCTTCACCACTGTATCCATCATTACTCTCGCGTATGGTTTGCTTTAATCGCGACAATATCTTCAAATGGTCTCTAATTGTCAGGTATTTGAAGTAAACGTTTTGTTGCGGACAAAAACCAATCATTTTCTGAACCAAATGCTTGTCTATACGGATATCGTGTCCACCGATAGATATCTTGCCCTCGAAATCAATCGCTCCTTTAAAACAATATAAAAAGTCACATTTTAAATATTTTTTATAGAATAATAAAATTATTATTTTATGTATAACATCATGATAAAACAAATTACATGTAGAATAATGATTATTAATTAATTCAAGGGTTCTGGCACATAATTAAAAATATAATAATTTTATTATAAAACACATGTAATTTGCATTAATTTGTAATCAAATTTTTCATAAATAACTTATACATGATCAAATTTTATAACAAAATTACCGGTAATTATGTTAATAAGTGATGTCTTTCCCGAACCATTGGGTCCCAGAATAACTGCAATAGACTTCCCATCGATGTCTAGATTGATATCGTTTAATGTTTTCACACATTTTCTTTCAAACACTGATTTATAAGTTTTGCACACATTTTTAATGTGAATAACGGCTTGATTTGAGTCAATCATCGGTTCGTATATTTCTTCAAAATGTTTTTTGTTAGAAAATTGTTTGATTTTTTCATAAATATATAAAACAAGAAAATAAAACGGTTTATGAATTGTGTGTTTGAATGGTATGATTGACGAGAAATACCAAATCAATAGCCCATACATTGGGTACGAGATTAGCATAACTATCATTATATGGCTTAAAGTCATTTCATCTAATAAGAACCCTGGTTCAAAAATATCAGGCCAATTGGCCCCGTAATAGGCATTAGACCCCAAACCCATACACGTGTGAAAAAACCAAAACATAGCACATGTGGGCAACAGAGAGGACAGTGTTTCTGAACCAAAATGAGTTTTTATCGGAAAACCTCTCATATAAATCATAGCACTTATTGGCACTAATGAAATGATAATCCATAAGATTATGGTAACAATGACTGCAATGTTGGGACTCCTGAAGAACACCGATATTAAGGCCACAAATAGTATGCTTTGAATGAGAAATAGTGTCGAAAAGACGGCAAACAATGACAGAGAGATTCCGTATAGAAGTGAATGCGAATATACAACAGGTTTATTGTACTCATCTCTGTATCCAATGTTATGATAGCATAGA